ATTAGATACCGAATAAAGAGTCAACACAACCGGACTCTCCACCTTCACATTAAACCAAACAATCAAATCGGAGTTTTATGGGAAGGATTTCCGAACTTTTATGATAAACAATGTAAAACGGATAGAAGTTGACCATTAAAAATCCACATGATAAATCTCGTACATACTTTTAAGAAAGGTAACTTGTAAATGTACTCGTACATTGAAATCAGATATACTATACAAAATAAGTTTACTTTTGAAAAGAAATCAGATAAAGGTGAAATGACAAAAAAAGCCATTTTCATATTTTTAAATAATCTAACAAATAAACCGGTCTCAGTCATACTCAAAGTGTGTTTTTAAAAAAGCTTAAACTCATCAAACAGTGAGAATTTTCCATTCCGTTGTTTTCGATTTTGCTTCTCTAACTCTTGCTAATATCTGACCAATAAATTAGCGAGTAATAAACGGAATCTTTATCAATTAAGATTTGAAATGTCACGTCCCAATTACACGTATATAAGAGTACGGTGTAGTTTCTTTTCTTACATACAACTGAGTACGCTGTTATTGATTATCAGATAAAAATTATACGACCTCATTTTAATATGAACTAGACGCCTTGTGATAATTACCGTCAGTATTGATGGAATTCAGTTATTAGGTTGAAAAAAATAAGATTACCAGACCACTATAATGGGACATCGCAGTACTCCACAGTTAATTCCAAATTTAAAAGAGCATAAAATTGGAAGTCATAATTTTACTTAGTTCTTTTCAAGTAATCATTAAATGGCGAAACAACAAGGGACATTAAATTGTACATAAAACAGAAAACCAAAAAACAACCACTTTTAAATGGAATTACAAACTATTGGGATTTAAACTATCATTTATTAGTTCATACCACGTAATCACCCGAGTTGCACATACTTCCCATATAATCGCTTTAACATTACCTTTGATTGCGATTTAGGCGTATTTAGTAATGGCTGACAGTAGAACGAAATCGTAGTTAACAGGGATATTAAAATAAGCATACAAGTATTTATTATCTCAATACTAAGTGGAGGATTCTGTCCTGTTATCAAGGAAGAAGAAATTTTACATACCTAAAACATCTTGTACCCACTAAACAAAATATAGTTGTTTTGACTAAGCTTCAGGAGGAATAAAACACCGATAAATTGAATTTTTAGTCGATCTAACAATACTCATTCCGATGCAAGTTCACACGACCAGTCGTCAACCAAAAAACGGGTTTTGCCATCGTCAAACAAAATAATACAATAGTTTATCAGATGATTGACAGATATTATTTTTCACGGTTTGTATTTCGAAATCATTTTAGTTATCTTTCCAATATATAACCAAACTAATTGATCACCAATATATCATCCTAATTAAAAAACATTAAGTTTGTGCTCATTTCTTGAAGTACGTAAATTGGAAGTAAATGCAAATAATAAAATGAGTTTGATGAATGCATTGCGAATGGAAAGCCTAAGCTTATTCAACCAGTAGATGTTTTTATTACGAATTGTTATTATCTTAATTAAATTTGAATACATAACATTAGCTATGAAAATTCATTACCGTAAACTGATCATTCTATATAGTAGTTTTAAAAAAAAACATTCATTTTAGTCTGTAATTTAATGAGTATGGAAATAATGGATAATGAAGAAATAATGTACTAAGTTTCTACTTTTTCGATGATGCTTATTACTGTTAAACACAGCAAACAGTTGAAATCGAAAAGTTTATCATATTAACGTGCAGTGGTCTTAGCACATAACTTAGACTAGTTTGGAAGCTTATTATGGGCTGTGATTTGATGAATAATACTTATTTTGAATATATTTTCTCAAAAAAATTGGATAGAATCCTAATCGATAGACGAACTCAACAATATTGGAAGTTAGTTAGAACATAAACAATTAGAAGATATAAATTTTGTGTGTCAAGTGCCAATGGGATGAAAATCCGATTATCTGGCTTAATTCTTATCCGGTATATCAAAGATAGCGGTATGCAGCGTAAGATTTTCGAAACGTGAATAAATTAGAATGGGTTTGTGGAGATCAGTTAATTTTTTGTAGGTAGTATTCGTCATAGACTGGAGTTAATGAAAGTCAAGAGGGACTGGACAGCAGTTTCATTTGAGTATGGGATTGTTTAACAGTGAAAACCTACGACCCCGTCCCACTAATTCTAATGGTTGACATGAAGGCCCCAAGTTCAACCTCTGATGAGGCCACGGGTGAGCACTTCCAAGGAGCTCCATACTAAGACAAAACAACTGTCCAGTGTCTTTTCATTTAAACCCAAGATGATGTCAATTTGTAACAAATATTAATATATTTGAATATTATGAAAATTCAGTCAAAAGGCTTCACATAAACGCTGCACATATTATTGGTTCGATCTAGATTTCTTTTTCAATTTGAACTCAACAAAATATTCTCCCAAGTAATGACTAGCTATAACCATCATCTAACTTATAATAGTGACCATCGTAAATAACTTGGTTATCGTTAAATTTCCCAAAGGATTTTTATTTCTCATAATAAACCATTAGGTATATAATAATGTTTTTCACTTTGGTTTTGCTACCACTAGTCCATTTTGTTTTTACTGCTTAATAGAAACATTTTGAAAAATTCGGTTTCCTCTTATTTCCTTATGCGTGTTGAGTGATGATAATTGAGACTGTATATCCATCAAAAATCATAATCGGTAAAACTTCAATATATTCAGTGACAGTTTTCTACCGTCAGGTATAACTATTACCCATCATGTTATCATGTCTTATTTCTGGAACTATATATATATATACCCTTCTAAAAGGGTACCAGTTTTCAACATGAAAATCGAAGCATTTAATTTAGTTGAGGATCTACAGATAACTTTTCAGTCAGCACCACCTAGTTGAAATAAAAAGGACCAGACGCTTCAGTCAACCATATATTCAAAATTTATCAAATGTTTCATCTAGAGTGCAATATATATATATTGAAGAGAAATTTCAGCACAACACCAAAATATCTATAGTGACCAAAAATTAAGCACTACACTGAATTAATCGTAAGAATAAAGCCTTTAATATTCTAAATTAGCATTTTATTGTATTCAAGAAAATAACATTGACCATTTTGAGGTCATAGCTTATAAAAAAAATACTTAGAATTGACAAGTAGTCACCTGTCATATATACATTGTAGAAGTAATGAAAATGAATTTTGAACCAGAACGAACCAATTTATTTGAAGGAAGTAGTTTATAGGTGGAACTAGGAAAGTATTCTGGACATGTTATTTGATTTTGGCTACCGTATCTTTTAATATATCTACATGTAGTGACTAATCGATACAACACTTGTGTCTAATTCAGCAAAATACATCAATATATTTGACCCGATCTTCAAACAAAAGCAGTAATAATCAGTTACTTCAATATCTCGTTTTATTGTCTTTTCACAGAAGACAGATACGATTTATCGCGACAATTTAAATGCTCCATTGGAGGTTATGGTTCAAACGTTATAGTTAACACCTTTAAATTTCCTCATCACCTATCCTGTTCTAAATAATGCATTTGTTAACTTCCCTCTTTATAAGGAAACAGTAGAATATCTTGCTATCTATTCTACCCTAAATTGGTAAATGAATATCATAAATGAAAACAGGTCAAATCAGTTATTTAGACAGACAAAAACAAAATAGAACCTGGCATCTATTTATATCGGTTAAAATTACAGCACTTCGTATGAATAGTGTGACAGCGAATAAACAAGAGGTAAGAAAATGAATGAAAACAACCATAATCCTAATAGCAGTTGGAAACTAAAAATAAGGTTGGAAGGGACGAAGGAAATCGAGTAAGTAAAACTATGAAATGATACTATACACAAGAAAAATAACAAAATGATAACAATTACTCAGGTTTATAGTTATTTGAAACATGACTCAGTTTCCAATCCCTCCCACAGTTTTCTAGGTTACTCCAATCGTGAAGACTCAACTTCCCTGAACAACTTAAACACATAAATGCTAATACCATGAATTGGTTTAATGTCTATGTTTGGTTACTTGGTACTATCAGCATGGTGGTTAAAGGATTCAGTCTACCAGAATCGTACTAAAGGTTTGAAGTCTACTCCCCATTTGTTTTGGAAGTCAGGTAATATCAGCATTCCCCATAAAAAAAGTGATCGAAAGTTGAACCAATGTTTAATTAGTGAGCATCGAAACCAGTTATTTTAACTACTGACTTCATTCTTAAATGTAAGTTTATAAAATGTTTACAGGACAAAAATATCTGGTCTATAGTAGTGTGTAGCTTATACGTTTTCCTAGTGTACATGGATTACTGGACATTTCAATGAGCCGTCAATAAATTAATACATTTCTCTGTAGTTATACAATATAAATACGATCTGTTATGTTAGTTTTGCCCATGCGGATATTTAAAATTAATTTTAAGGAACCAACAAAGACGGCCTGCTTGAATATCTGGGTTACCTGTTCCTCCGATCTACATATTTCATCAAGTTATCTGTTTTGTTGTTTGTTTTAGCACATCATTATGTCTATTGTGCACACAATCTATTCAGCCGCGTTTATGAAAAGTTTACAACCTTTCGCTATAAGGTATACAAAAAGGTACAATCGGCGACATCACGGTGGCTGGCAATATGCATTTAAACGAATGAATATTAATCAAATGTGGATTACTGAACTCCTAACATCTAACTGGTCATCATTCAAAATTTATCGTCACAATAGATCAAGATATAAGAAAAGGAAACTTGTTGAAATAATTTATGCTGAGAATTCTATGTTGTACCAAAAATATAATGTTGAATAAAGCCTATAATAATAATAATAATAATAATAATAATAATAATAATAATAATAATAAATATACTATACAAAAGCAACCGAAATGATAAAAGGATAGAAATATCATTAGCTTTTACTTTGAATAAAAAATCAACTTGAAGCGATCTAACTCACTTTACACGATCGGCTATATGGGCGTAAAGTTCAGGACGCCATGCAGGCATGTGAGTTACAACGACATCAGTATTATCTGGAATATGCATCCATTGTTTAGAAACATCGTCAATATTAGGCAGCACAAAACCTTTAGACTGACATGGGCTAGAGACGGTAGTGGTGGGTTTGGATGATGTTTGACCATTAACTTTTTCAGTAAATCGCAAACAGCTAATTGAAGTCTTAAGTTTAAAATTTGTATAATGACTTAAATGCTTCTGTACAAATGCTCCATCTTCGGGTCTTAAGTCGTCAGCTGAAGTCCAAGGGATACCGTAAATCGTCAACCCAAAAACCTGGCACCAGGAGTCTTCAAGGTAAATGGCTGATGTCAGCTGAGACTGAATTTTTTCAGGCGTAGGACAGTCACCAGATGAATCCGAATACCATGTTTCCCAGCAACCGGGAACAAAGATTTTGAAATCATGTGGCTGTTGAGCAAAAAAATTATCAATCTCTTTGATTTGTTGTTTCCAGTTCTTAATGGGTGATGAATGACGCTTTTTAAATTGAGGAAGTTTACCAGTTATACTCTTACACCATGTTGAAAAGCGGAGGCTGAGCGAAGGTGGGTGAGATGTAAAATCGCCAGAATGAATCAGAATATGTCCTCGTGGAATATTTTCTGTGAAGGCATCATGTGCTCCCCTTGTATCTGAGATATGCACAATACGAATAACTTTCGCCTTGGGGTGTCCAACTTCACCAACTACATATACATTCAAATTCCTAAAATTGAGTAGTGAGGTGGTTTGGAGAGGATTGGTACAATAAAACGGCTCGATTTTTGATGCTGAAAATATGATGAAAGGTTAAAATAATCTTGATTGTGTCAGGTACACAGGATTTTGGGAGAAAAAAGTAGTTTGTGATTAACCATCTATCATTAAGTGAAAAAAAAATTCAGGAAATGGTAGAAAATGATTGTTTATGGACATGGTATTAGTCACGTGAGCCCTTACTGATACTTGATTGGTTAAGATAATATCGATAAGCCAATCAACGTGTTATTTCAATGTCCAATGTCTATCTAGTTAACATGACAATGGTCAGAAGACCAATAACCCAATCAAATTTTAGATTAGAATACTAAGCCATGCTGTCACGGATTATAACAGGTCAATAGGCTATGAGGTCAACAAAATTCTAGGCGAAATGGGGTATCAATTGATTAGGATTCCACTTTTTGTTGATATTCCGTTAAACCACTTGCCTCTCTTCGGTCATTACTTGTAACAAATACAAACGAATGGGAAATTATATCAGTTTACTATATAATTTTAGAATAGGTATGATTGTATAAAAATCCCTTTATTCTTTTAGTAAGTTCTTTTGATTTTGTACGCAATTATTAAATTATTCATAAACTTAGCACTGTTTTGAGAACAGTAGTCATCAATAAAGGTTACAGGAAGTTTATTTTTCTCATTTAGAACTACACTTCAGTATTATGAATGAAATAAAAAGGATTATAGAAATAACATATTATGAACAACCCCTTGAAAATATTATTGCTAATTTGTAATATCCAGTGAATAAAAACAACTTTTTTCTTTTTTAATAATTAAAAAAAGTGAGAACTTCTTATTGAGTATCATTCGTTCAAATATGAAATTAGTTCAGACATCTATAAAAAGTGTTTCAATACCTTGACTGATTGATGGAAGACAGCTTTGAGTCACAGTATGTATACTAGCTTGAAAACTCTTTCGAAAGATTTATTAACTATGATCAAAAATATCACGAAAGCTAGAGTCAAAATATCTAGGGTAGTAGATACAAGTTCATGATTTCTAAATTTATTTAATGTTAATACGGATTCAGAAATGTCTCTAAACTTCTTGAGGTTATTTTTTTACCATATACACTGAATTTAATCGTTGAATTATTCAAAATCAGGAAATATGGAAGAGCTAGTTGATGACGAATCAGCTATAGTGAGGATCCACAAACCCATATAGGACATATCCAAAGACACTCATTTCTTGTGTGGAGCATATTAGATTTAAACCATTGAGCAGGAATCCATTGGTAAACATTTATAACTCCAGTCATTTCGCGATATGGTCCGGATCAAACCAATATCATTTAAGATAGCTGCTTGACATGTAACATAGTTGAGCTCCATCCATTAACACGTTTCAGTGAAACTTATGAAATTCACTGTTATGGGATGTTGAAAATAAGTCTCTTTTAACTTGATTGCATTCTAGTCAGCATAATATTTAATCAGTTATGAGAAGATGTATGATTTTCCTGAGGTTCACCATAAAATATTGTGTTCATTGTAAGCTCAGTTCAGGAAACTGAATAAATACAACATAGATATTTCTTTCGTTAAATAGGATTGTAAGATTAATGATTAAGATAGATATGTCTGTGGGCGACATAGAGAACAAGAAATAGGGACTATAATCTTTATGGACATCATCAAGTAACTATTACTAAAATGTACTATGAACAAAAACTTTAAATTCCATGACGAAATATGCCGACAAATAGATGGTGTCACGATGAATTTACCACTAGGTTCCGTATTAGCTGAAATCTTTTTGCTAAACTGGAGAACGGTTCACCGATACAGTGAATTGACAAGTTTTCATTTTACTGCCGACTTGTGGATGTTACATTCATCCTTTGTAAAGAACATACTAACTGGATAAAGACACTCAAGAGATTCAACGAAGTTCATCTGTCTACTATATTCACACGTGAGGAAGAAAATGGAGTTAGAATAGCCTTTCTAGATGTTCTACTTACAAGGAATGTAGATGTGTTACTAAAAAAGAAACTTAAACAATCAAACTACTTGGACTGGCTAATATGCAAATTTTACTAGTTTTGTTCCTTTACAATGTAAAATAAACCTGACTAAGACACTTCAGTATAGAATCAAGAGTATATGCTCCCCAGATGCTGTTGAGGAAGAAACAAAGGCATTGGGTACAACTCTGAAAGAAAGTGGGTATCTGAAGAAATTTATGAATAAACATTTAGCCATGAAAAGAGAGAGAAGTCCTAACTGTGAGCAAAATGTCTATGTACATACTTCTTCAGTTTATAGGTGATGCGGGAAGCTAAATACAAATACTAAAGTTGCACAGACCAATCTATCTATTAATTCTTTGAATTGGCCGTCTTTTATTTAAGTAAAATGTTTCTAAATAAAAGCTCGACGTAATGCGAAGTTTCTGTTAGAACTTCAGCCTATTAAACTGAGATCTTCATGTTGACTGAATTACGTTCGGTTGTCCAAATAAATATATCTTGTTGAGGTATATTGTGCTTAGCACTTTTTACAATAAATTCTAATTTTCCGTAAGTATTTACATTACAAAGAGACATTATCATCAGTGATAGTTTAAGTTACAAACACATTCATTCATATTAAGTCTTTCTATGTTCTTCTTGACTTATAAATAAAATATGTTAGGTGGTGGGAACTAGTCGATAGGATACCCTAGACCTAGGTTTTATGCTATTTGCTACTCGTTATCAAGACACACTTGGGATCCTGAGCAAACTAATGATCCTTGGTGGATTTGAACCCTGATCACCTTGTCTTACAGAAGCTCGATCATCACTCGAACAGCTGTGATCCACCCTTAGATCTACCAGCTAGCAGCAGTTTCCTCAAGCTTGAGAGTACATTTTACTGACGAGTGTCAAATAACAAGAAATTAAGGTCCTGTCGACAGCCTCCAACTATCTGACACATAAACATAGTTCACATGATGTCGAGCCATTCAGATTAGTGGCCACGTTGCAATTTGATCGATACAGCTCGTTAAGCAGTTAAAGGACTAGATAAACATGATATTTGGTGCCTACTTAGTGATCAATCGATTGTAGGTAAAATATACGGTTAATAAAAGTATTCATGAGTCAAAAACATTCATAATTCACTTTAAACTAGTAGAGATCCATTTGATTCTCGAAATAAGTTCAACTAAAGTTGAGTATGTGAAAAAGATATATTGCTTGGGTTCTTTTCTTCCAGTCACTAATTTTCTCATCCAGATTGACTGAACTGTTTCGGTATGAAAATAGTAAGATAATTAAAAAAGTGATTCATTCACCCTTTAGTTAAAAATATAACTATTAATATTATCATTACGGATGGATAAAAAGTACTTCATATATTGTTAAGGCCAATAAAACTGAATGGATAATGCTACATATTTGTAATACTTAGCTTACGATAGATTAGTTGGTTGAAGTTGTCAATTCAAGGTTAACTGTATTGCCTACCTCATTTTGTTTGTCATTAACAAAGGATAAACCTTCCTTCCAATCTAAAACATTTTACACATAGAATAATCACTTTTCGGATCGACTGATAAATTGTGAATAGATATTTTCATTTTTCAAATTCATTACGACAGAATTCAAATTTCGAGAGTTGTTATTAATTATTTACGACAAGCAAAATGATTTCACTTACTAAAACACATTTGTGACAATGTTAACTCTGATGATTGAACAAATAAGTATTGGTTTACCTCGTAAATTATTTCTGTTAGTATCTTAATTAAAAACATTTCAATGTTATGAACAAAGATGGATAGTGGCTAGCAGTTGAATCCGGAACGTGCGTTTCATCCTATTTGGGTCTCGTCAGCTGGATGTACCTGCATCTCAGAGTTGATGTTCACTCTGGGACTGGAACCCAGTACCATTCGCTTCTAACGCCAGCCCGTTATCCACTTAGCTACTGGGTCCTGATAGCCACTTGCTTGTGCAATGGGGTGGATTTAAATTCACTTGCTATTGTTTTGTTTGTATCCTCCCATTGATCAGTCTGTTATTAGCATATGTGAATACTGTGCGTATACCTCGATATTGCCTTAATTCACAAGCTTTTATAAGCAGGTACATCCAGCTGAAGAGTCTCAAATGCGACGAAACGCGCGTCCTGGATTCCACTGCTAGCCACTATCCATCATTGATTACAAAAAGCTTGTGAATTAAGGTAATATCGAGGCATACGCACAGTATGCACATATGCCAATAACAGACTGACCAATTGCAATCTTAAACCTCAACGGGAAGATACAAGCCAAACAATACCAAGTGAATTTTAATGTTATGTATATCAGGATGCATTTTTTCTGGCCATTTAATAAAAATATTTATTCACATTAGAAGTATGAATAAATTATTTTTTACAGTACAATTAAGTCTGACTTTAAAATTGTCTAATTTAAGTTGTTACTGGTTACTTGAAATTTTCCAGTGACAATTACAAGGGTTCTTTATTTGAATGTTTAGGAAATGAGGGACTCTTTGACAATATCAAACATTAAAAATCATCATTTAACATGATTATCTGATGTTTAATGAAAACTTGAGAAAAAAATGAAAAAATCAATTCTAATGATGTGCCGGTGAAAACAAAGATTTTCTTTTTTAGTCTTTTAGGGCCCGTGAGATTAAGCCGTAAGACAACAGAGCAGTTGTATTGATCTTTTCCGAGTATTGATTACATTACCCGGACTGTCTATCTAGTACCAATGAACTTCTGCTGGCCAATGACACAATAAACGTAAGATACTTGTGAGTAATACTAAGTGACTATTAGTCCTAAATTCAGTTTTCCACGCTTGCTCGCTCTCTCGATAACCAAAATAGAAAACAACTTAACAAGCAGATCACATCTAATTATACACATAGAATTTGCAAATTATTCAATCAGTAATACAGGGCAAAATCTTGACCACACATCGACAGAATTAAGAAATTAGAATATGAGCATAACTACGCCACAAGTGGAGGAAGACTGAGCAATTGGTTCATTATAGATTAACAATTTAGAAAAGATAAAACAAACAACAATCATTTTTATGTCCAACAAAAGCTTACAAGAATATAGTAGTTTAA